ACAACAAAAAAAAGCAAATGACATTTTCAGATATGTGGACACCAGAGGCTGAAAGGAAGGGAATACAGGAAGTGAATGCTGATGGGTGGAGGGTGTGAAGGGGGTCTCTTTTTGTGGTGGTAAAAATGTTTTAGCATTAGATACTGGTTATGGTTGGACACCATTGAGAAGGTACTAAAAGCTGAACTGTATATACCTCAAAATATTTAAAATGTTGAGTTCATTAATTTCATCTCAATCAAAAAAATCCAAAGAGCCCAAGTGCAGTGGTGCACGCCTGTCATCCCAGGCTGAGGCAGAAGGATCATGAGTTCAAAGCCAGCCTCAGCAACTTAAATGAGACCCCCTGTCTCTAAATAAAATACAAAAAAAGGGCTGGAGATGTGGCTCAGTGGTTAAGGGCCCCTGGGTTCAATCCGCAGTAACTGCCCCACCCCAAAAATTTTTTTCAAGATTAGAAATATTTCAGTGTGTTTAAACACACACACACACACACCCCCTAAGGAATTTTGACAGCAATTTCACAAAGACACAAGTAACTGTGTCAACCTGGTTTTTGTTTTTATCTCCCACCTGGTGGACACAGGTCAGGGAGAGCAAAGGAGGTGGCAGGGTGAAGAGGCAAGTTCTGACAGGTACCACCACCACCTGGAGAGGAAGCCAGGCAGACACAGCCAGGGCGGCCTCTGCATGGGGTTCAGAGTGAAAATCAGTTTTCAGTCTGCTTTCCTCCCAGGAATGAAAACCAAACAGTCCTCCACACCACAACCAACCTCCTCCATGGCGTAAGTGCAGAACTGCCACAGGAAAAGCAGAAATGTTCCTTTAGCAGAAATGTTGCTTATGCCTCAGACAAAATTACTGTTGCCGTGGGAACTGTAACTGGAGTTTCCTGGACTTCTAAAAAAAAAAAAAAAAATTCTCTAATGTGAAATTCGACTGGCAGACTCTGCTCCCATTTAACAAAAGGCTGTTTCTTTTTCTGAGAACTATTTTTATGAAATTAGCGCCCTCGCTCCAACCCAATCCTATTAAAAGCTTTCCTGGAGTTTTATGCTTTCTGATATTAAGGACAAATGGCTCTGGTATTATCCTCAGGACAAGATGCAAATAAATCTGCTCTCTGACAAATACTTTAATTGAGTTAGATCCCTTTAATCAGAAAGTATTAACCAACTGAAATTGTGCTGTAGGACCCAAGTTCCCAAAACTCTAGAACTCTCTCTCTCTCTCTCTCTCTCTCAAAGCCCTGATATTAAAGTCAGGCACAAAACAAAACCTCTTCCCAGGAGACCCTTCCAAGGGTGACACTCAGCAAAGAAGGGAACTGGAGTCTGAGAACTCAGGGCACGCCTGTGTGACAGAGAAGAAGAACTCAGCTCCAGAGGCCAAGTCTAGGATGACAGGTGTCTGAGCTGAAAACCACAAATCTGCTATTTCTGCTGAAAGACACAAAGTACAAAGAGCAGCTACTAGACAGACGGACCAACCATGTCTTCAGTGACATTGCCCCTGCCCTCTACTTCTGGGTCACCCAAGAAATCGATGCCTGATTCATCAAAAAAGAAAAAAAGGAACTTGTCCCAGGTCACACCTGCACCAGAGGCAGAGAAGGATACACACCAGATCTCCACTTTTCCTTTCTGCATTAGTCTATAAACTAGTCGCAACAAAATTGTCTCCTCAAACTCACATGGCCTCACAGTAATCATATTTTGCTTACTTTTCTGATCCTCCACCTGCTCAAAAAAGGGAAATAAACCACTGAACAGTGTGGCACATGCCTATAATTCCAGCAGCTCAGGAGGCTGAGGCAGGAGGAATCATGAGTTCAAAGCCAGCCTCAGCAACTTAGCGAGGCTTTAAACAACTCCGGGAGACCCTGTATCTAAATAAAATACAAAATAGGGCTGGGGATGTGGCTCAGTGGTGAGCTCTCCTGGGTTCCATCCCTGGTACCAAAAGTGGGGGCAGGATAAAATACTGAGGGACTAAGGACTCTCAGATGTCAGAGTACAGCTCAGTGGTACGGCACTTGCCTAATATGTGAAAGGCCATGCGTCCCATCCCCACTGCCATAAGCAAGCAAAAATGAAGTTTGTAACTATTAGCACATTTTCAGACAATGTGTCAGTGCTTCCACGTCACCTTGGAACAGCCTCTGGGACACAACTTCACAGGGCACAGGAGACACCTAATAATTACTCACAGAACACGGGACACATTTTAATTCTAAATTTCTGCAAGGCAACAGTACCTATCAGAAACACATGTTCTTCTAAGCTGATCAATGGGCACCACTTCATGGATGGAGATGCTAAAAGCCTTGTTGGGTCAGAATGGGAAAAATGTCCTTTGACTACAAAGTGACCCTCATCCACTCTCTGCTCATCCTCTGTTGTTCTCTCCTCCATCCTTCATGTAGACCACAAAGGAAACCCAGAAATGCCTGCAGGGTGACCGCAAAATCATCTAGACTCCTGTTCCCCAGAGATCACGCTGCTAACCTGTCTGCAGACACTCGGTCCAGGCATGCAGTCTGAAAACCTCCGAGAAAATGAAAATAAAGACCCTTTCATTTCTGTTGTCTCAGAGAAATCACTGCCCAAGTCAGATGGAGACTAACTTCAGGCCAGAGAGGTTGCCAATGCTAACCTGCATTTTCCAAAACTGAATCGGAGTGAGAAGGGAGTCAGTCTCTCTCTCCTATACATATTTCAACACAGTCTAATGGAATAGCAGGAACAAGGCCAGACAGCCCCACTGCTACTGGCACTGGGGCCAGGGAACAGAAATTTATTTTTAGTCAGCAGAGCAAGGAGTGATTCAAGTGCCACAGGCCCGGGGTGCAAGCTGGGGGCCTTCCTGCCTCTGGCATGGGATACCTCACAGTCACCTACCATGCTCCTTGCTCCAAGGGCAGGGGGTGGACAAAGAAGCCTTGGAAGGACACACTTGTCCCATCTCAATTCTACCTCTCCATTTTGCAACTTAGTATACATTTGGGGAGTCGCACCTTCTTCTTTAGCAACTGCAAGATATGCTCTGCTATCCTGGCTCCCTCACCGAACAAGAAAAGGAGGAATGAGTGGCCAAATGGCCTAGGAGCTTGTTAAAAATGTGGTTTTGGGGGATGTGGCCCTGCATTTCTTCGTTTGGGGTGGTGTTGGGGGTGGGGTGTGCCAGGGATTGAACCCAGGGACACTTGACCACTGAGCCCCATCCCCAGCCCTATTTTGTGTTTTATTTAGAGACAGGGTCTCTCTGAGTTGCTTAGTGCCTTGATTTGCTGAGGATGGCTTTGAACTCACCATCCTCCTGTTGCAGCCTCCCGAGCCTCTGGGATGACAGGCAGGCAACACCGCACCCGCCTGGCTGTGGCCCTGCATTTCTAATGGGCCTGATGTGGATATGATACTGCTGGTGCACAACTTGGGCTCTCAGGATTCATGAGCATCTCCATGCACTTGGCTTGAGGAACACTCTGGGGGTTTCCACATCCCCAGCTCACCTCTCCAAAAGCTGACTCATTTAATGTAGCCCACGATTAGGCACCTTGCAGGTGCTGCACACAGAACAAGTGGGCACAAAAAAGAAAGTGAACCCTCTGCTCATACTTAAGGGCCATGGTTTTCCTGCTTTCAATATTCATTCCTTCTTCACAGGGAACAAAGACCGTCCTACAATGCCTGTGGGCCTACAGTGAGGTCTCATCAAGACCCAAGGAGTTATGTGAGAACCAGCCACCATTAAGAGCCACCAAGTATCACATATTTGCTAAGTGACCCTCATGATAGCAAGTGCTTCATGTATGTTCTGCTTCCTTCTAGGCCTGGCCCTGTCCACTTGTAATCCCAGTGACTCGGGAGGCTGATGCAAGAGGATAGCAAGTTTAAGGCGAGCCTGGGCAACGTAGTGAGGCCCTAAGCAACTTAGCTAGGCCATGTCTCAAAATATAAAAGAGTCTGGGGATGTGGCTCAGTGGTAGGGTGCCCTGGTTCAATCCCTAGTATCCCTCCCCTCCAAAAAAAATGTCAGACTCACATTTTTCTTTTATGAGATTCAGAGATGACGTTAACTGTCCAGGATAGGGTGAGCCACCACCCAGCCCCTCCCCAGGCTTTCCTGAAGAACCCTCAGCAGACTGGAAAAAGGTTCAGCTCCAGAGCATGTTTCAAAAGGCTGCTCCCTGAACACAGGGCCCGCAGCCAGCCAAAATCCAAGATCAACACGCTAACCCGAGATCTTTTTAATAGTGCCTTCCTGCCGTATCCCCCTGCTCAGCCTGCTGAGTTCCAGGGTTCCAGAGAAAAGGACGCACACAGGTGAGCAAACGAATTGTAAAACTAGCAAAATCAAGATAAAGTAAAAATGTGCAGGGCTGCAGTGTGGACAGGAAATTCAGTAGGAAGGGGGTACTCTGCTCAGGAAGCTGCCCAAAAAATCTGGTGGAGCGCATGGCTGGACTCCCAGCTGGGAAGACCTGTCAGGCTGCAGGAGCAGGGCCAAGCCAGGTGCCTCGGCCCCAGCAAAGGCAAAAGGCTCAAATGATCACACCCCGGGGCTTCCTCACTGCATTTTTTGGTTAAAACCATTTATGTCCTTTTTGGTTTCCTCTGTAAGAACACCCAGATTTCACTTCAGTCTATCATTGACCATTACAATGAATTCCTCTTTTTTCTGCTGATTTCTGAGGCCAGGAGGCACTTCATTATTTTTATATATATATTTATTTATTTTATTTTAGAGCCCTAAAAGTAAACTGAGTCTCAGTCCAAAATTCACTGGCACAGAGCTGAGCCTGCTATCTTATAATTCACACAGCTTCCTTTAATTCCAGTTTATTCACCTGAGCTGCAACTTCATGGGTCAGAGAGCAAGTAGAAAAGTCCTAGCGTCCCCCAAATGGGAGACAAGTCAAGGGCTGGAGAGTGGCTCAATGGTAGGGCACATGCTTAGCTAGCATGTGTGAAGCCTGAGGTTCCATCCCCAGCACTGCTGGAAATAAATGGGTGTGGGGGGCAAAACCTCCAGCTTTTGATTCTGCAAAACCCCAGAACAGCAAACAAGGCATTTTCTGTGATGAAGGTCATTCTCCACCAGTGAGCAAGCATGCCACCACAAGTTCTCCTGCCACCAGTGTCAGCAAGCCAAAACCACGGACCCACCATGGCCCAGAGCCCCAGATGGCACTACTCACAGAAAGAGTGACACCACGTGTGGAGAGGCAGCACCCAGGGATGGTATGGCCTTCAACTCATTATTATGGAGGTACCTGCAACAAAAGCAAGAGGGAATGGATCATATGGAGCACTTAAGTTAAGCATTTAGAAACACAAACATACAAGGCCAATCAAAACCACCATGAGCCAGGCGCGGTGGCACAGACCTGTCATCCCAGCAGCTTCGGAGGCTAAGGCAGGAGGATCATGAGTTCAAAGCCAGCCTCAGCAACTTAGTGAGGCCCTAAGCAACTTAGTGAGACCCTGGCTCTAAATAAAATATAAAAAGGCCTGGGGATGTGGCTCAGTGGTTAAGCACCCTGGGTTCAATCCAGCTACCAAAAAATAGATAGATAGATGATAGATAGATAAATAGAAACCCCCTGCTGCATTCACCACAGGAGGTGTGAAATAAAAGAATCCACAAGTGAGTTTTTAAAGAGAAAGAAGTTCTACGAAGTCACAAAGCCTAACTATTCCTCACACCCCTGGTAAGAAATTAATACTAGCATCAAGTTCAGAAAAGAAATCAAGACTAACAGACATCGAGTAATGAGAATAGGCCCAGATACAGGTTCAGGTCAAGTGTGGCCCCAAGTCCATCCTGGTTGGCTCAATCAATCAGGAAGGGATCTGGAGAGGAAAGACTGTCCCCTCCTGGTTGCTCAGTGCTCTGCCTGAACCACAGGGTAACATGCAGGAACAGAAAGCTGGAGCCCAGTGGCTCACTCCTGTGGGGTTCTGAGATGCTAGTCACATATGGGACCGATTATTTCAATGTCTTCACTATGAAATAACAAAGGGGCTGGACTCAGAGATGCTCATCCATTTGAGGTTCCAGCTTCCCTGGACTCTAATGGAGTCTCTGGATGGTCTTCCAGGAAAACAAACATATACACATGCTTTCTGCACACAGACATTGTGAAAACCCTCTGCAGACAGGATGTGCTCTCCAAGTTCCCTTCCTGCTGGAAGGTCCTAAAATCTCTCTTTCCACCATTGATATCTCTTACTGGAAGGGAAAGCCCATGGACACAGCTTGCCTGGTCTGCCCCCAGAGGCTGTACAATCTGGCCTCCTTACATGGACATGTATTTCCAAAGCTGGGAAGAGAATCCAAAAATCAGACTTGCAATGTGAGCCCAAGAAACCTCAGGAAAGCCAAAGCAGTGTCCAGGCATTCTGCTGGGTGACGGGCTTGAAAGAAATTGTACTTGAGATGCAAAGTCAAGGGAATAAAACTGGATTATCTTGCTCTCGATTTTTTAAGGGAGGTACATCTTACACACAGGGCACTCTCTGAAGACAGGCCACTGGCATGACAGCTGTATTCATACAAGTAGAGAACCCACATTTGCCTGAACAGAATCGTCTGGTTGTCTGCCATCTTTTACAGAAATGAACAGAAGTGAAAAAAAAAAAAAAAAAGAAAGAAAGAAAGGCCTTGAATTATCCCATTTGCTTTCTTCGGGGCCAAAGCCAGTTAGGGATGAGGCTTGACAATTACTGGGCCGTAGGACACAGAATGCCTGTTTAAATAGCTTCATGACTGAAGCATCTGGCAGAGAGAAAGCAGATCCATATCATGTGGCAAATCCTTGTTTGTGTGTTGAAATAGGCAATTAATTATTTTAACAGTCTGTTATCTGACGGTCCCCTGAATCAGATGGTTTCTGCTTCTACCTTTTATCTCTCCCAACCCTGCTTCGAGATCCATTTCCCATCACGGTACTGAAAATTCTCCATCAGTCTTAATCATGACCAGGAAAATTTCACAGTACCTATGAGCACACATATCACGAGAGGACACCCTCCGTTTTCACCAGAGCAAGAAAAGCTCAGCTCAGGCGCCTGCTACCACCAAGGTGTCTCCTAGAGATTGACTCTTAAACAGAAGATGAGGTAATAAGAAGAGTAGCAGGTAACTTAACCAAAGGCTTACTATCTACCAGATGAAGCTCTAAGAGGTTTTCAGCCTATGGACTCATCTTTTGGACCGTAGAAGTGGGTCCCAGGAATGTTTCCATTGAAATAAGAGGTGTTAAGTAATTGGACCAACATCACTAGCAGAAAATAGCAGTGGCCCAGGAAATCTGGCCCCAAAGTCTGTCTGGGTTGTTAACTACTATCTTCTGTTTTTTTTTTTTGTTTGTTTGTTTTTTTATCATTATCCCCTCAGGGGCACTCGACCACTGAGACTCATCCCCAGCTCCTTTTTTTGTATTTTATTTAGAGACAGGGTCTCACTGAGTTGCTTAGGGCCTTGGTAAATTGCTGAGGCTGGCTTTGAACTTGCGATCCTCCTGCCTCAGCCTCCTGAGCTGCTGGGATGACAGGCATGCATCATCACACCCAGCTTGTTTCTTTACGATTGTAGTGAAACCCCTGTATGTATTATGTAAAGTAATCATCACAACAACTTTGAGTTAGTTTCCAGTTATTACTGCTGATTCCTATATGACACTCATTTCCCAAGTCAGTTTAAGTAACCGGCCAGGGGGACATGGCCAAGAGATGAACAGTGGCCTCAAATCAGAGAAGAGCAATGAGCAAACAAGCCAACAAGCATGAGGCTGGCCAGAAAGCTCCTAATCCCTTAGGTAACACTGAAGTTGTTTTTCTGCCTTGATTTGAATTGGAACCTAAAACTGAGTATGTAAAAACTCTGGCTAATGAGCCTCCAGCCCCCAAACGAAGCTGATTTCCATCAAAGGCCCTAAAACTCTTGCTGAGATATCTGGCTTCTATAAAACTTTTTCTGATGATTCAGGACCAAGAAGTGCCTCAAATGCTTCGGACTATGAATCACGGCCCAACCCAGGAGCTGGAAGGAGGTGTAAGTTAGGTCACTGGGGGCTGCGAGGGTTGCCTGACCCCAGAGCAGAACCCGGACAAGACCTGACCCACTCAATCCTTAAGGTCAGCGGGGACTTGTGGGTCCCTGAGTTTTCTCCCCAAACTTACACTTACTTAGCTCGGTTCAAGGGAAAAGTTACATTTAAATGTTACAAAGGACATTTCACAGTACATCATCATCATTTATTATCTTAATGAAGTTTGGCCTTTTAACCAACAATATAAAACCCACCCAAGGAGTACTATGGGGTTATAGCATCTTTTTTTCCTTGCCAGACTTATTGATTGAATAGCTGACAGAGGCACACAGTAAAGATTTCAAACCATTTCAAAAAAGAATACACGGAGTATACAGTGAAAAAAAAGTTCCTGTATCCTTCAGTCTCCTGGCCTGCCTCCAAGGGGAACCTCCTGCTGCAGGCTATGAGAGATGTGCATGTGTTTTTATTTTACACAAACTTGTGTCTTGTGGGCTATTCTGTACTGCTCTTTTCCCCTCAGTAATATATCTTGAGGAGGTCTTCACAAGTCTTTCAGCCAGCTGCAGAGTAGTCCTCTGCTGGTATGAGTGGTTTTAAAAAAAAAATGGACCCTTTTCTTTACTGATTTATTTCGCCAATTTGTTCTTGGTAGGCAGAATGGTTGTTCCAATTGCTCCCAACTAGACACAGATCCAACTACTAACAATTCGAGTCAGGAGGAGGGCTGGAACTTTGGTTTCCCTTCTTTTTTTCCCCTTACTTATTAATCTATTTATTTATTTATCGTACTAGGGGTTGAACCCAGGGCTTCATGCATGCTAGGCAAGTGCTCTACCACTGAGCCACATCCCCTGGTTCTTCTGTTTTTAATGTATTTTGAGACAGGGTTTTCCTAAATTGCCTAGGATGGCCTTGAACTTGCCATCCTCCTGCCTGAGCCTCTGGGGCAGTTGGGATTACAGGTATGCATCACCACATCAGCTTGGTTTTGTTTCTTAAGAGGAGAAAGCCATCAGGAGCACACAGGAACATGATTTCAAGAGACTTAATAACTGAGGTTATGCTTTATCTACTGGAGAATAATGCATACTAAATAATGGCTTTAGCAAGACTTCACGATACATAATTTCTAAAATTATTTTTGTATAATGACAAAGAATATATAGCTCTCCCTTGGTATCTGTGGGGTTAACTGTAGGAACCCCCCCTCCACCAAAATATGCCCAAGACCTTTACAGAAAACTGTAGCAGTATTTGTATAAATCCTATGCATCTCCTCATATAAACTTTAAATCACTTCTAGGTTACTCTGAATGTTATCTAATGTTGCATAAAGGCTATGGAAATAGTTGTTACATTGTATTTTTAGGGAATAATGACAAGGAGAAAAAAAAGTTTGTATATGTAAATTTTTCTCCAATATTTTCAATCAGAAGTTGGTTGAATCCATGGCCATTAAACCCATGGACATGGGGAGGACTGGCTGTGGTCACTTTAACAAGTGCATACAATAATCAGGGTGAACACGGACCCAGTGCCAGGAGCAAACCTGAATGGCAAGCCAACCCTTTCAGGAAAATAGGAATGATCATCTCACCCCAAAAGAAGAAACTGAGACAGAGTGGCAGAAAAGGAATTTTTTCAAAGAAAATTACACAGCTTGCATTTTTTGTTTGTTTGTTTTAGTTTGGTTTGGGGGTTTTCTTTCTCTTTTCTTTCTTTCTTTTCTTTCTAGTACTAGGGATTGAACCTAGGGGCACTGAACCACTGAGCCACATCCCCAATCCTTTTTCTATTTTATTTAGAGACAGGGTTTTGCTGAGTTGCTTAGGGTCTTGCTAAGTTGCTGAGGCTGGCTTCGAACTTCCAATCCTCCTGCCTCAGCCTCTGGAGCTGCTGGGATGACAGGCATAAGCCACTGAGCCAAGCCAGCTTATGTTTTAAAATCGGATCTCATCGTTCTCAAAACTTGCAGTACCTTTGTTTCCCTTTTCAACCAATGAAAATAATACAAGTGCCAAGCTTATAGGGTCTGGGCAGGTTACAGCTGAAATAATGAAACATAAAGGTTTAGGATACAGATACGTGGGAAATAACTAGCAGGTGGTAGTGATTCACAGCCAAAAATAGTGCCTCAGAGCAACCCCTACCCCACCTGTGCCCAACATACAACCATCATGCACTCTCCTCATGCATGTGCATGATCATGGGGAGGCAGCGGGCAGCAGCCTTAGATGCTGGCAGCACAGCGAGCCATAAATACCCAATAGCAGACACAGGCTAGGCTTCCTCACCCCTCAGAACATTTTAGGTCAGTGGCTCTGGTGAGCACATAGGGGTATCCACAGCAAGGAATCTCAGCCAGGCAGCAGTATCGTGAGCTGAGCACCATTTTCACAGAGGACTGTATAAACAGCCTTCCTATTATAGAAGAGCCTCGGTGTCCAGCACCCTCCTGGGTGGAGGCCCTCCTGGTGGGCCCTCAGGGCTGTGGGAAGTGCAGACCATGTGGCTTGGAAGCAGCTGTCTAAGTGCCCCCATGTCCTCCAAGTGCCTCCAAATGGCTGGCTTTCTCCCTCTAACCAACCCACAGTATTATGTGGTTCGAGGGCCTCCAAAATTAAACCACTGCTAAGCCACCCCCGGCTCCTTTGCCAGGCCTGGCTCTGACACTCCTCGGGGTTTGGGAGAACTGGCTGCCCCCTGGGAAACACTCAGGCCCAGCTAATTCTGATGCAATTGGGTATCAACTGCGATTCTTGAGGGGTTTTTTTTGTTTTTTTTTGTCTTTTCTTCCACATCCTTTCCCATCTCCCCACCACTCACCCCTGACACCTCTTATAATCTCCAGGAGTATCAGAATTCCTGCAGGAAAAGCCCCACAGGCTTTCAGTGAGGAGTTCTGCTGCTCTGGGTACCATGTCTGGAGAGTCCAGGGAGTGGCACCAGGGAGAGAAGGAAGTCACAGTAGGTAAAAGGTTCAACCTGTCAGTCTCCAAAAATGTGTTTCTAAACTAGCACTCAGCCAGGGCTGCCCAGTTTCAAAAGTAGCAAAAGAGAAATGATACTCAGTGAGCCTTTGCCATAGCCAGGGCCAAACCATCATCTTCAGTTAATAACTACAATGATACTGATCGTGTGTCACTATGTCGATGGCACAGAGGAGGCAAAGGAAACACTGAGGAGCTGTCACTTGTCCAGGGACACAGACTCAAAACGAGAACCCCAAGGGGCAGAACCAGAACTCAAATGTCAAAATCCAGTTCTGCTTGCCACTAAAACAAGTGTTTCCACCCCCACTTCACCCTACTGTGTCTGTAATAGATCACCTTGGTTTTACAAGGCCCACTCAGGAAGGCAGTGCTGGGGGTGGGGGGATTCCACTCTTAAAACAAGGAAACTAGAGGTTGGTGGTCAAGAGAGCAAAACCCAATGGAAGTCGAAAGCCTGTGTGAGCAAGGAACAAGAACTAGGGAGCTAGCAAAACCAATGCTGAGAGCACCGTCTGAAGCATCCACAAAGAATGTGTTAAAATAATGTCTCTTTTTTTTAAAATGTAAAAATGATGGTGGGATGGGGAGGCTGAGGCAGGAGGACCACAAGTTTAAAGCCAGCCTCAGCAACTGAGAGAAGCCCTAAGCAACTCAGTGAGACCCTGTCTCTAAATAAACTATAAAAGAGAGCTGGGGATGGGGCTCAGGGGTTAAGCTCCCCAGGGTTCATTCCTAGTAAGGAGGAAAAAAAAGAATGCAAAGTAAATTCCATTATGAACAAAATATCAAAAAAGTTTAAATCCAGACAGTGTCAGCAACGGTGCTATGTCAAGCCATGCTGGAGTCTTGGGCAACAGGAAAATGATCAGTAGTACTGATTCTGCCTCAGTTCAAATTTTTTATATTTTGCCCCTCGTAGATATTTTAGAGAGGGGGGGGGTTAATTTTGATTTTTTTAAGCATTGCATCAAAATAGCCATTACCTCGATTGCTGAGTTTGGGGTGCCCTCAAAATTTCTATGCCGGAGTCAAGTGCCCCACCTTCCTCTCCTGAGCCCCTTCCCCATTTTCATGTCTTATTCAGGCACCCAGGACAGTGCCTGGCATAGAAAAGGTGCTCAAAGAAGTGTTAAGTGGAAGCCCAGATGATGTCAGAGGAAATGCCCCAATTTTAATTTTTGTTCAACTCTAAAAAGAAACCACAGCCAGGCTTTGGGGCCATTATTAGGTACATAAGAGTTACTTGAACTCAAGCACTTGTAATACCATGACAGTCAACCTGAAAAGTGAGATGACTACCGAGTGACAAACGGGAAGGTAGGATATACAGCATGGAGACAATGGGAAAAGGGGTAAATCATGAACCATGCAGAGGAGCACAAGATTTCATCACACTACTCATAATAATAATTCACGTCAATTTAGAACTTATGAATTGTTTATTTCTGAAATTTTCCATTTGATATTTTCAGACTGTGGTTGACCACAGACAACTGTACTGTCTGTCATTTGACAGTAAAGGCATAATGATGCAAATACCCCTTCACACGGGAGAGTAAGGAATGCTGCAAAATGAAAGGATTTTCTCCAAGATCTCTCCACCCCTCTACCAACCATACAGAGATTTAGGGAAAGCACTCACATTTCCTGTAGATTTAGCAAGTCCTCAAAGCCAGCAGGGTCAATCTCAGAGAGTTTGTTGTAACTCAGGTTTCTGGTAAAGGAAAGGAAAAAAATAATCTATACTTGGCAATGTGCACCGAATTGACAAATTTTATCCTTTCCCACTTAATCCCTTCCCCCCAAAAATCCAAGCCCTCTTCCTCCTAATTCCCATTGTCTCATGCATTATTTTAAGTAACATTTTTGCTACTGAAATTTACAAATATACCTCTCCTGCACACTTGCATCCATAAACAAGGCACTGAAAGGCAAGCAATGAACATGCCAACCACCTGAGGCAATGGATTCAAGCAATATCATTTTATCACCTAACAACCTGTAAAGAATTCCTAAAGTGAGCCAGACCCCTATTCACATTAAGGTGTCCTGGTCCAAATACTCTGCACCAAATACTTTGCAAAGTCCAGGGCTATTCTTTTATACATACATGGAGTCTAACTTCCCATTCTTGTGGTTGGACATGATGTGGAGTTTCCCTGGTCGTGTGTTCATATATGAACATAGGAAAGTTCTGTCCCATTCATTCCACTGTCTTTCCTATTCCCATCCTCCTCCCTTCCCTTCATTCCCCTTTGTCTCATCCAATGAACTTCTATTCTCCCCCCAACCCTTATTATGAGTTAGCATCTGCATTTCAGAGAGAACATTTGGCCTTTGGATTTGGGGGATTTGCTTATTTCACTTACCATGGTAGTCTCCAGCTCCAACCATTTACTGGCATATCAAGGCTATTCTTAATGACATTTTTTATTAATGTTTGACTAATGCATCAACATCAAACAGCAGTAAAGAAATGAAGAAAAGGTGGTTCAAGCCTTTTATTGTCTAAGCCAGTGGTTCTCAATCAGGAATGATTTTACGCTGAACCCCCCACACCCCCCATGGGGAGACAGCTGGCAATGTCTAGAGACATAAAGACAGAGGCGAATGGGTGGTTCTGGTGTCTGGTGGGTAAGGGCCAAGGCTGCTATTCAACATTCTACTGTGCACAGGCACTGTCCCACAACAGAAATATCCAGCCCTACATGTTAATACTATCCTGAGACTGAGAAACCCTGGTCTACACAAGAATTCAGGACTCAAAATTGCTCAAACGCAATTTGAGTGGTTGTTACAAAAAGAAACTACAAGATTCAGAATTACAAGGCTCTTTATGAGCACAGTATCCCCATGCCACGATCATCACACAGAAGAAGGGAACCAGGTGTTAAGACATTCACACTGGTATGAACCCTAGGCAGGGAAAGCTGGCAGAGCAGCCTTCTCAGGTAATACCAGCTGTCTCACTAGCTCAGAATCACACCTTTCTTTCCATTCATCCCCAGCTGTACCCTCCAACACCAAGAAGGGTGAGCTTCTCTGATCACAGCCTCAACCTAGACCAGCTTCATCTTTTGGGGACAGAAACCATGAGATGTGATCTCCAAATCAGCCCCAGCTTCTCACTCCATACTCCTGCTGCAAAAGTTAAGTCCACCCAGCCCGAGCAGGCCAAAGTGGTTGACGTTTCTCATTTCAGCTATTCATTCCACTGACATTCCTGACAATGAGCAGCCCCAGTTATCAGGAGTTTAAAGTCTGCCTCTGAAAATGTCACCTAAGTGGCAGCTATCTTTTAAGGTTACTCCAGAGACATTTCAGTCAATACTAACCTAGAACTGAGAGCCATTTCCCTATAACATGGAAGACATTCATCTAAATAAAAGCCAAGCTGCACTGGAAACTAATGGTACCTCTGTGTTTGTGTCACAGCCTGAATTAAAGGCCATTTGTCCAGAAATTAAGAGGCCGTAAAGACTGAAGGTGGTAACTTTTAAAAAATATTTTTAGTTGTAGATGGACATAAAAATAAATAAATAAGCAAACGTGTTATGTGGTGCTGAGGACTGAATGCTGAGTCTCACACTTGTTAGGCAAGCACTCTGCTGCTGCGCTACAGCCCCAGCCCAGGTGATAACTTTTAAAGCCAGATACTGAAGTCAAGTGCGGGCTTGCTTGTACTCGGGGGTATTTATCAATGGGTAAATAGAAACCAACAGGCTAGAACTGAGAAAGAAAACCCACAAAGGGAGAATTTCTCATGTCAGAAAAAGGACTGAGATTTTCTTCTACTCTGAGTGGATTATCATGGCAGGTGAAGGGGATGGTGGCTACCATTTCTACAGGTAAAGATACCGCAAGCTTCAAGCTATAATTCATGTCATCACAGGCAACTTGAGAGATGACCTGGAGGAGACATGAGAGAAGGGCTCTCAGAAACCATGGAAGCAAGAGATGCAAAGAGCGGATACTTCATGCAGCTGGCAAAATGACCAGGACACCAGCACACTTAACAGTTGACATTTGCTCTCCATTTCAGAAAAAAGAGCCAGCATAGGTAAATCTTCTTCATTTTCCAGAAAGGCTCAAAATATGAATTCTTACGGGAAATTCTTTGTTTTTGGCGGGGGGGGGGGGGGGGGACTGAACCCAGGGGTGCTTACCCACTGAGCCCCATCCCCATCCTCCTGCCTAAGCTGCTGAGATTAGAGGTGTGTGCCATGGTGCCCAGTTTAGTCTAGAATTTTTTTTAAAATTTCCCATTCTCATAAAACCTTACGGCATGGGTCTAGGGAAGGTCGTGTTGGTAATTTCATTGGAACTTAGTGTGTACTGTGTGTAATTCCTCAGAAGGTAAAAACAGCAGAAACAGTCTCACAAGCTTAAAGGATTAAACAACTAATAGGTGATATGGTCTTCCTCACTCGCACCCCTTGAAATCTTGAAGGGGCCAGTCGCTCCTCCCCAGTTCTTTAAAAGCAGGTGCCTTCTGCAGTGAACAGGGCAGGTTCTGAGGTGGAGGAAGAGATTGGCGACTGGAGCCTGTGATGCCCCAGAAAGCATGTTTCCCAGGCCATCTCTGGGTGCCCACTGGTGCTCAGGAGTTGGGTCACTGGGTTGTCTAGTCCCCGTTTTCCAGCTGTGGTATTCAGCTGAGCAAACATCTGGAGGCTTCAACTATGCAAAAGAAGATGACGTTCAGGAGTCCACCCAGGATTGAGAAATGGGCATAGGCTAGCTGGGAAACGAGACTGAAGAGGAATACCTGGTTCTAGACTGGAAACCAGTCCTTCCACGGGGAGCTAGCATCTCATTCTTGTCCAAGATGGGACCAAGCATTTTGCTATAGAGGCAGTAGTCCATGGGCAGCACGGGTTTGTTGGGACCAAGTGGGCTTGTTTTCCCTGCCACCGGTTACTCAAAAATCAACGGAACTTCTCGTCTCTCCACTTCCAAGAAGTCAATGAATTATTGTTCAGCAGCTCTGAAGAGCGTTTGCCAAGTTTATAATATGTGGTTCAGGCCGTAATCCAGGAAGGTGCTGGTCAGATTAGGTAAATACCTATTAAGCCTATAGGATTACGCTCAGGGCAGTTCCGAGTGGGAGCATCTTGCAAGAGACTTAAGCCTTCCCGAGGCCCTTTCCCCTGTCAGGATGGTCTTTTGTGTGCTTTAAAGGGCTTGCATCAGTATACACCCCACCCCACCATATTTCATCACCCTTTTCAACAAATATCTTGAGTTATGAGGAAATGAATATTTATCATTATAATCATTGTTTTTAGCAGCGATGCAGATTGAACCTAGGGCCTTCTGCATGCCAGGCAAGTGCTCTCCTACTCAGCTACACCCCAGGCCAGGCCCCTCCTTTCTCCTCCTCCTCCTCCTCCCTCCTCTTCTTCCTCTAACCCTCCCATTCATCATCTTTCTCTGTGCTGCTGGGGAGTGGAACCCAGGGCTTCACGCATGCCAGGCAAGCACTCTACCACTGAACTACACCCTCCTACCCTTGAGATTTATTTTTAAAGTTCAAGTTTCTCCTGTAGGTGCTGTTTTACTTGAAACATTTATTGGTTATCCCCAGGTTTAGAAATACTGCTTGATTATGATTTAGATCCAGCTCAGTTGGATGGATGGTGATGATGGACAGCCCCGTCTGCATCATGGCATGAGGTCACACACAGCTCCTGAAACCTTGACATATGGCTAGTGAGGACTGGAATTATAGCTCAGTGGCAGAGCACTTGCCTGGAATGTGTGAGGCCGTGAATTCGATCCTAAGCACTATATATAAATAAGAAAATTAAATAAAAGATCCATTGGCAACTGAAAAAAAAAAAAGGAATTCATACATATTTGTTACCAGGGATTGAATCCAGGGTGCTTAACCATGGAGCCGCATCCCCAGCCCTATTTTGTATTTTATTTAGAGACAGGGTCTCACTGAGTGGCTTAGGGCCTCCCTAAGTTGCTGAAGCTGGCTTTGAACTTTCAATCCTCCTGCCTCAGCCTCCCGAGTTGCTGGGATTACAGGCCTGCACCACCATGCCTGGCTCTGAATTCATAATTTTGTGTACTCTTACGTAGTTTAACTATACATGGCCACGTGGCTAGTTGGCTAGTTTTAGAGAGAGATGGGATTTCTCAGCTATAGAAAGACTTCAGCTCTTGACATTCCGTGGCTCTGCGGGGTCTTTCCAGGAAGCCTGCTTTTTGAGCACCCTCTTGTCCTACCCTGTTACACAGTTTGCCTTTTCTGATATGCCTGGGTAAAACCTGAGCTGTTCTCTGCCGAGGTGCCTCTTGTGTGTTCTGCAAATGGTGGGCCGCACGGTCCTCTTTGAGCAGATTAGCTGAAAGAATATCTACGGCTAGGCTTGGGCTCCATTGTTCCAAGATCTCTGCGCCCTTTGTGCAAAGAACAGGGAAAATTTGTGTTATGACAATGGCTGACAAAATGTTTAACAAAAGCTGCAACTGGCAGGAACTAAATACCCCCCCCCCCCAGGTTTCTTTCCCCTCCAGCTCTGGGCTCCTTACTGAAAGGTACAGGCATGCCTTGGATGGCATCTGTCCTGCAGACAGATGAATTGTTTTGACAGGAGAATCTAAAACCTTCAACTGAAGACCCATTCAGATGTCAGGCCTGGGAAGGGGCAACCATGTTCCTAGAAATAAGTGAGATGCTTTAGATGTGTGTCATGTCAGCTG